GTTGCAAACATACAGGGTCTAAAGCAGTCAACTGCCAGGGGTTGCAAACATACAGGGTCTAAAGCAGTCAACAGACAGGGGTTGCAAACATACAGGGTCTAAAGCAGTCAACTGGCAGGGGTTGCAAACATACAGGGTCTAAAGCAGTCAACTGGCAGGGTTGCAAACATACAGGGTCTAAAGCAGTCAACTGGCAGGGGTTGCAAACATACAGGGTCTAAAGCAGTCAACTGGCAGGGGTTGCAAACATACAGGGTCTAAAGCAGTCAACTGGCAGGGGTTGCAAACATACAGGGTCTAAAGCAGTCAACTGGCAGGGGTTGCAAACATACAGGGTCTAAAGCAGTCAACAGACAGGGGTTGCAAACATACAGGGTCTAAAGCAGTCAACTGGCAGGGGTTGCAAACATACAGGGTCTAAAGCAGTCAACTGGCAGGGGTTGCAAACATACAGGGTCTAAAGCAGTCAACTGGCAGGGGTTGCAAACATACAGGGTCTAAAGCAGTCAACTGGCAGGGGTTGCAAACATACAGGGTCTAAAGCAGTCAACTGGCAGGGGTTGCAAACATACAGGGTCTAAAGCAGTCAACTGGCAGGGGTTGCAAACATACAGGGTCTAAAGCAGTCAACTGGCAGGGGTTGCAAACATACAGGGTCTAAAGCAGTCAACAGACAAAATTCCTTACATCAAGGGGCTGCTCATGGAGTCAACTAAAATGTTTGCAGTTTTCAGAAAGACCCACACAAAGGATCATTTTGACAATGAAATATGGATCCAGGTTATGACCTACTCAGATGCGACAGATTAAACAGAAACAAAGGAGGGGTTGGCCTGTATGTCACAGAGTCACTCATTTGCACAGAACTACTAAACATCTCAAATGATGTAGTTGAAGTTTTGGCGGGAAAGATCAAAAACCAAAATTTTATCATTGTGGAAGTATACAAGCCTCCAGATGCAACTTTCCAGCAATTCCAGGAGCAGCTTGTGAAAACTGGCCACTGTCTGGAAGATTTCCCTACTCCTGCCCCAAACATCTTACTACTGGAGGAGTACAGCAAATAATGTTTTAGCAGAAATCACCCCAGGAGGCTGCAGCTCAGATGAAAATTCACACACACATGAGCTATTAAATCTCTGCATCAAATTCACCTTAAACCAGCAACTAGTAGAGCCTACGAGACTACAAAATACACTGGACCTCATCTTCACTAACAATGACAATCTGATACATAATATTACTGTATCAAAGACAATACATTCAGATCAGAACATAACAGAGGTACAGACATGTATGTGCAGGGCTCCTGACCAGCAAAATGTGATCATTTATGAGGGGTGCCTTCACAAAATTCAACTTGAATAATAAACATACAATGGAAAAAAGTCGATCATGTCCTAAATGAAACAAGCTGGGAAGATATCCTGAACACTGATCCGAACCTTTGTCTAGAAAAAATTAACTCTGTGGCACTTGAGGTTTGGTCAAGGTACATTCCATGAAGAAAAAGAAAGAAAAGATGTAAACTAGAAAGAGAGGGATGCTTCCTATACAGGCGAAGGCAAAGAATCACAGAGCTGCTGAGAGGGGCCAATATATCTGAAATATGAAGGGAGGCACTGGTCAGAGAAATAGTAAATATCAAACTTAAGCTTAAGAAATCTTACAGGAGACAAGAATCTCAGGAAGAAGATATCAATAAAATTGAAAGAAACCCAAAATACTATTTCTCTTATGCCAAGTCCAAGGTAAAAACAACATCTGGTATTGGGCCGCTGCTTAGACAAGATGGGACTTACACAGATGACAGCAAAGAAATGATTGAGATACTAAAGCCTTAATATGATTCAGTGTTCAGCGAGCCGTTAACCAGACTAAGGGTCGACAATGTAAATTAATTTTTTTATGGCCAAGACCCAAAATCTGGTAATTTAAAAAACCTCTGACATTATCCTAACACCACAAAACTTCAAAAAGGTAATTAATGACATGCCCATGCACTTTGCCCCAGGCTCGTAGTGGAATTCTGTGTTCATCAAGAACTGCAAGAAGCCCCTGTCATGTGCCTTCAGCATTTTATGGAGAGGGAGCATGGACACAGGGGTCGTCCCACAGTTACTAAAAACAACAGACATAGCTCCACTCCACAAAGGGGGCAGTAAAGCAATTGCAAAGAACTACAGACCGACAGTGCTAACATCCCATATCATAAAAATCTTTGAAGAGAGTTCTAAGAAGAAAGATTGCCAACCATCTATACACATCAGTTACACAACCCAGGGCAACACAGGTTTAGAGCAGGTCACTCCTGCCTGTCTCAACTACTGGACCACTATGACAAGGTCTTGGATGCTACAGAAGATAAACAAAATGCATATGTAGTATACACAGACTTTGTGAAAGCCTTCAACAAGTGCAACCATAGTGTAATAATACACAAAATGGGTGACGAAGGAATAACAGGAAAAGTTGGAAGATGGATCTATAATTTCCTAACAAATAGAACACTAAGAGAAGCAGTAAACAGAGTGAAGTCTGAGAAGGTTACAGTGAAAAGCTTTGTGCCACAAGGCACAATACTTACTCCCATCCTGTTCCTCATCCTTATATCTGACATAGACAGAGATTTAAGCCACAGCACCGTGTCTTCTTTTGCAGATGAAACTCGAATTGCCATGACACTGTCCTTCATCGAAGGCACTACAAGATTCCAGGCGGACATCAACCAAATCTTTAACCCGTAAATGGTCCAAGCAGATCTACGTTCACATGTGTTGCACTACAAAAGTAGATCTACGTTATTTTTTACATATTTTCAAATATAACAAAAAAAAAAAAGTAGATCAAAGTTTTTTTTACACATTTTCAAATGTAAAAAAACAAAAAGAAGATCTACTTTTTTTACATGCTTTCAAATGTTGAAAAAACGTATATATACGTCTGGACAGTTTACAGGTTAAATGGGCCCCAGAAAACAATATGAAGTTCAATGAAGAAAAATTTCAACTACTCAGATATGGAAAACTTGAGGAAATTAAAATTGTATCAGGGTATATGACAAATTCTAATCACACAATAAAGCAAAAAACTGATGTGAAGGACCTGGTAGTGATAATGTCAGAGGATCTCACTTTCAAAGACCACAACAATGTATCTACCTCATCTGCTAGAAAAATGATAGGATGGATAATGAGAACCTTCAGAACTAGGGACGCCAAGCCCATGATGATTCTCTTCAAATCACTTGTTCGCTCTAGGTTGGAATACTGATGCACACTAACTGCCCCCTTCAAGGCAGGTGATATTGCTGACCTTGAGAGTGTACAAAGACCTTTCATGGTACACATAAGTACAATAAGGCACCTAAATTATTGGGAATGGTTGAAGTCCTTTGATTTGTATTCCCTGGAACATAGGCAAGAAAGATGCTTGATAATATACACCTGGAAATCCTAGAGAGATTAGTACCCAACTTGCACATGAAAGATCACTCCATATGAAAGCAAAAGACTTGGCAGGAGATGCAACATTCCTCCAATGAAAAGCAGCGGCACCATGAGTACACTGAGAGACAACACAATAAGTGTCAGGGTCCTGAGACTGTTCAACTGCCTCCCAGCATACATAAGGGGGATTACCAATAGACCCCTGACTGTCATTAAGAAGACACTGGTCAGACACCTGACCAGCCGGGCTGTGGCTCGTGTGCCAGTTTGCGTGTGGCCAGCAGTAACAGCTTGGTTGATCAGGCCCTGATCCACCACGAGGCCTGGTCTCAGGTTGAGCCGCAGGGGCGGTGACCCCCGAAGCCCTCTCCAGGTATATAGTGGAACTTTATAAGTGAACTGACTGTATATAGTGGAACTTTATAAGAGAAATAGCACAACCCACTGGAACCCAGGGAAATAACCACTAGAACCCAGGGAAACAACCACTGGAACCCAGGGGAACAACCACTGGAACCCAGTGGAACAACCACTGGAACCCAGTGGAACAACCACTGGAACCCAGTGGAACAACCACTGGAACCCAGTAGAACAACCACTGGAACCCAGTAGAACAACCACTGGAACCCAGGGAAACAACCACTGGAACCCAGGGGAACAACCACTGGAACCCAGGGGAACAACCACTGGAGCCCAGTGGAACAACCACTGGAACCCAGTGGAACAACCAATGGAACCCAGTGGAACAACCACTGGAACCCAGTAGAACCACTAGAACCCAGTGGAACAACCACTGGAACCCAGTGGAACAACCACTGGAACCCAGTTCAACCACTGGAACCCAGTTCAACCACTGGAACCCAGTTCAACCACTGGAACCCAGTGGAACAACCACTGAAACCCAGTGGAACAACCACTGGAACCCAGTGGAACAACCACTGGAACCCTGTGGAACAACCAGTGAAACAGTGGAACAACCACTGGAATCTGGTGGAACCACTGGAACCCAGTAGAACAACCCAGTAGAACAGCTCAGTGGAAAAATTCAGTATAACCCTGTGGAACCCAGTGCTACCCAGTGGACCAACCCACTGGAATAACCTACTGGAACAACCCAGTAGAGCCCACTGGAATGGCCCAGTGGAACCCATTGGAACAACCTAGTAGAACCCATTGGAATGACCTAGTGCAACTCATTGGAACAGCCCAGTGGAACAACTCAGGGGAACCCTGTGGAACAACTCAGTGGAACAACCCAGTGGACCAACCCACTGGAATAACCTTCTGGAACAACCCAGTAGAGCCCATTGGAATGACCCAGTGGAACCCACTGGAACAACCCAGTGGAACCCATTAGAATGACCCAGTGGAACCCATTGGAACAACCCAGTGTAACTCACTGGAATGACCTATTGGAGAAACCCAGTGGAACCAACTGGAACAAGCCAGTGAACCCCAGTGGATCAAGCCAGTATAATGAAACAGTGAACACAGTGGAACAAACCAGTGGAATGATCCAGTGGAAGAAGCTGTCAGATAAGAGGTACTTACTTGATATAAGGCTGATGGAGGGCCACCAGACAGCAGTGGACTGTCAGGCTGACAGCTGACAGGTGGAAGTAGTCAAACAGTACTGGCAGGTGGTAGTGCAGCCCCCTGGGGGAAGAAATGAGCTGTCAGTGGTACAAGCTGTCAGTGGTACATACAAGGACACCAGCTGTCAGTGGTACATACAAGGACACCAGCTGTCAGTGGTACATACAAGGACACCAGCTGTCAGTGGTACATACAAGGACACCAGCTGTCAGTGGTACAAGGACACCAGCTGTCAGTGGTACATACAAGGACACCAGCTGTCAGTGGTACATACAAGGACACCAGCTGTCAGAACACTCAGACATGCACCTGACAGGGTAGAAGTGCAGAGAGTGGGTGAGGTCACACACTGGATGTTGTGGTGGTCTGAAGAGGTGTGTTCAGTGAATGCTAGGACAT